ACACCAGTGTTCTGTGCATAGGTACGTGGCCTGAGGCATAAACTGAATGGGTAAGGGAGAAAGAGTAGGATATATATACTTATCTATCACATAATTATACAGCAAGCAAAATGATGAAAACTTCCTCGATATTATCAAACATCTTAAGTTGATGGACCTGGGGGCCCAGGGCCACAGTCTCAGGGGGGTACCATGGTCAACTGGTATAACCTAGTCCACAAAGACAATGTTCTATAACCTGCTTGGGTGAGCTGCATCTGGGATCTTGGAAGGTCATGAGTGGCTGTCTAAGGTGCAGCTATTGGTCTCTCCATGTGCAGAAAAAAGAAGAGTGACAAAAACTAGAGAGGCCTAGATTCAATGAGTCCAATGGACCAATGGAACATGTGAATACCAGTCTCTACAACTCTGAGACCAGAAAAACAAGGCAGTGCCCAGCTACCACTTTCAACTGCCCTGAAAGGGATCACTTTAGAGGATCATGGATAGATCTGGAAAAAATGACGCGCAAAACTAAAAACTACTTAATCTAAAAACAAAAAAAACAGTTTACTAGTTAGAACAAGACTGGAGGAACCAGAGACTGTGGCCCTCTACCACTTTTCAGATCTGGAAAGGAACTCACCCTAGTAACCCAACTTTCAGTCAAGCAGATAGGTTTATAAGTGGGACAACACTAGCAAGATATGCCATCATGGAATGAATGGTCAATCATTCAAAACCAAAAGGGCACCATATGCCTGAGACCAAAGTTAAGAAGGGATAGGAAGGGGGGATGTAGAATACAAATAGGAGCCACAGGGAGGAGGAGCAGGATAACTGTTGTTGAATGGAGGGGATTGGAATCACTGGGATGAAACAAAATGTATAATCTGTTGTCTGTAAACCTTTACTCAATTCGCAATGAAAAGTTGTAAAACAAAAAAAGTGAAAATAGAAAATAAAACAAGATATTTCAAGCAAGCACTGATGGTAGTGGTGGTGGTTATATGCCGTGAAGACGGTTCCAACTCACAGCAACCCTGCGTAGCATTTCCAAAGCTGTAAATCTTTATAGGACCAGAAAGCGCTATCTCGTGAAACGGCTGGTATAGTTTTGAACTACTGACTTCGAGATTAGCAGCCTGACTCGTCACCACTACGCCACCAGAGCTCCTTAGCTCAACAAAGCAAGAGATGTATTTGGATTATGGGGTTGGCAAAGAATATTGAATATACCATGGATTGTCAGAAAAGAAACAAATCTATTGTGGAAGATGCACAGCCCAATTGTGAGACCTCATCTCTTATACTTTGGACATGTTGTCAGGAGGGACCAATCCCTGGAGAAGGACATCATGCTAGTTAAAATGAAGGGTCAGTGAAAGAGAGGAAGATCCCCAACAAGACATACAGACAGACACAATGGCACCGACAATGGGTCCAAACACACAACAGCCATTGGGAATGAAATGTGAGAGCTCAGGCTGGGAGAAACGTGAGGAAGAGCAATTTGACCATACAGGGAATGTTACAATTGGGTATGTGTAAGAAATTATGGAACTGTGTGTTAAGCAGATGAGTAACAATGCATACCAAAAAAAATAGTTGGTAAATTAATATAGTGATTATTAACTTCAAGAAAAAAATGGAAAACTAAGAAGGTATAGTCATAGTCTACTATTTGACCGCCAGGTAACAATATTTTTACTTAGTCAAACATAATTCTTAACTATCAAGTTAACTAAAAATGATGATACGGCATGCAGTGTAAGAAATGAGACTCTACTCTGGCTAATAAATAACATCTAAAATAGAAAAATCAAGAAATAGTCATTGAAAAGTTAGAAATATGGAAGTGAATAACTGGGGGGAATAGTGAAACAGAGATGAAAGGAACTGTGTTTTAATAATCCTCTTAATACTACTGACGTTTGTCACTATAAGTCTGTTTAAAATTCTTGATAAAGTAACAACAGTCTGTAGAAAGTGGATTATAAAGAAAGGGGGAAGGTTAGAAAAAGTGGGAAATGACTAGCTGGGGAAAAAGGTAGATCACAGATGAGGCTGCAGTGGAAGACATGGAGAAGATAACATATTTCAGGAGTTAAGAGATAAACCTGAGAAGACTTGCAGATGGATCTGAAGTGTATAAGGGGAGGAGGAATGAGGAGATAAAGGAAAGGGGGAACAAAACCATGGATGATGCCCAAGTTGCAAGCTTGAACCACTGAGTGAATGCTGATAGAAGTGAGATGGAAAGACTGGGGAAAGGAACAGGTAGTGGAAATCAAGAGTTGCTTTAGATGCTTGTTAGATCTCCAACTGGGGATACCAAGAAAGAGGTTTGCTGTATGAGCCGGGGGATCAGGGAGAAGTGAAACCTGGAGATGGAATATTTAAGGTCATTAACAACAATGGATATTTAAATCTCTGAAACCAAAAAAAAAATACCATTGGGAGATGATATAAAAAGGACCCAGGGCCAAGTCCTGGACTCTCCAACACTAAAAAACTGTAAAGAAGAAACAAAAGAACAGAATATCAGTATATGTCTCAAGGAAGAAGGGTAAGTACTATTTCATAAACTTTGATTTCACAAGCCAGATGAATAAGCAGATGTACTTATATTGATATATCATTTATATTCTTATGCCATTCTGAAGGGGCTTCAAAAAACTCATGGGAAAATGGAATCAAAAGTCCAGAGACATGCTTTACAGACAGAATGTTCAACTGTATAAAATTAGCTAGGTTAAGTACAATGAGAGCAGTTAAAAGTCCACTGGCCAAAGTCTTTGCTCTGGGAGACAGACAGGCTTGCGCGTTGCATTAAACTGTCTCCTTTTCCACTGCAAGCCTCTTTCCTATAATAAACGTTCGCTCATATGGGGGAAAAAGAGTCCACTGGCTTGGCAACATGGAGGCCATTTGTTATTGATGTTGATAAGAGCAGTCTGAAAACAGACTTGGAGAGGCTATAGAGTGAATGGGGAGCCATAAAGTAGAGACAACCAACACAGGCAGGAAAAAGCAACTTGAATGAATAATCAAAATGCCAGTTTTGGAATTATAATTATAAAACAAACTCGGCCGAATTCCTTGGGGCAGATTTCGGTGTCCCTAATGCCCTGTATGCACTCAACACTGTCTGAGGAAGTGAAATCAAAACAGAAGGCCCTGAGCAAGAACAGCTGCTTATGTGAACTGCGAGAATGGGACTCAAGGAGGAGTCCAGGAAGGCTTTGAGTACAAAAGACAGTGCAGGGGTGAATTTTTCTCCAGAAAGGGGCTCATTCATTCATTAAGAATTTTAAGGGGGCTTGTGACCACCAGAAAGATAAAAAACACTCCTTAAACAAGCACTGGACTGCAAGGTCAGTTTGAAAAGTGATGTTGTTTCCGAGGGGCGGTTGGTGAGTTTGAGCAACTGACCTTGCGGTGCAGTGCCTATCCTACAGTATTGATGGTACAAATGCACCAGCCACTCCAGTTCAGAAACCCTATATAAAAGGGTCACTATGAGTCGGAACTTAACAACAACATCTAAACTATCTAGCTTTCAATTTACGCTGAAAGAACATGACACCGATTTCTCTCAAATCTGGTTCCATTCTTTCTTCCTCACCAAGACCCAGCCACATTCTAGTCAAAATAATTTCTCCCAACAAAACAATGCTTGTATTACTCCATTATAGTAACTGGCCGCTCCAATTAAAATAAGGTGTTCTTGCACCTACCAACCCAAAACCCACTAACTTGTAATCAAATCCATCTCATAGCTACGCTAGCGGGCCAACAGTTTCCAAGACTGGTGAGTTCCAACCACTTGGACCAGAGGGTCCTTAAAGAAATCAAAACCATCTAAGTGTGCCATTACAGCTTAACTTCCTCTCATTCCAAGAAGGAAAAACCCACAGCAACCAAAATAGCACCATTACTACAGAACTAAGAGGGAAGTGGTGTGGGGCTTTAGCATAATTACTGGACCACAAGGTCGGCAGTTCAAACTCACCAGCTGCTCCTCGGAAACCATATACAGGATTGCCATGCACTTAACAACAATAAAAGGAGTTATGTGGAGTCTTGGTGTGGCACTGTCAGATAAGCAACCGACTGCTAAACACAAGGTGTGCGGTCCAAACTCACCAGCTCCTTGGAAATCCTGTACCTGTGTAAAGAGTCCTGGTGTAGCGCTGTAGGATAAACACTGATTCGTAAGGTCGGTTTGAACGGCAAGGTTGGTGGTTCAAATTCAGCCAGCTTCTTACTCAGAAACCCTAGGCAGGGTGCTATGAGTCCAAACCAACTAAAAGGCACATAACAACAAGAAGTTAAATTACCTGATACTTGTAATTTAATATGTTGTTGTTATTGTTGTTAAATGTCATCCCAATCTGTTCTGACCCAAAGCGACCCTGTATAGGATTTCCTAGGAGCGGCAGGTGAGTCTGAACCACCAATCTAGTGCGGTTCAAACCGATTTTGCAGTACAGCGCATTAACCCATAACACCACACCAGTGTTCTTAAGATGTGTCTAGTTCAATACCTCTGTTAGCAATTTACTTTAAGTGGATTCGAAGTAAAGGAACAATGTCACTTAAAAGCCAGTAACTCTGTCCCTATCCTTAAAAGAAAAAAGGCAGTAAAACCTCTCATCATTAGGGTCAGACGCTATAAAGGAAAAAGGAGTAACTGTTCACTTCACCTTCGTATACAGACCAAGGTTAAAACCTGGGCAATCAGAAGTAGAATGCCTGTAAGGCAATAATCTGCTTTAACCCAGAGTCAAGATGCCCAGCCGCGGATCCTGTTCTTTCCCTCCCCTGCTGCATGGCCCGCGGGCCAGTCCTGGGTCTGGGGTACAACTGCTCGGAGCTCACTGCAAGAATGCAAGTGGAAAACAGCTCATCTGGAGACACCTGTCCATCCAGGCTTTTTTAAAAAACCAGACATAACAAGTCAAACGTTTACGAGTCAAGCCCAAGTGCACAGCCCTGGCTCGTTGCCCCACACTCACCGCACACCATCAGCAGCAGGACTGTGAGCAGCGTGGCCACGAACACCAACAGAGTCAGCCCCACGTTGTGCCACATCTTGGGGGAAGGGAGGACGGCGGAGGCGAGGGGTAGGCGCAGACCCGAGGCTGCGCGTTTTGTCTCAGCGGCGGGCGGCAGGCGCGACCAAGCGCCGGGGAGGCATGGGCGGTGGATGCCCCTCAGCAACGCCCCCACAGGGCGGGACAGCGAGGCCCCGCCGCCCCACCGAGCCAGCCTCTCGCCCGCGCGGAGAGAGCTGGGCAGAGAGGGGGCCCGCGGTACACCCCTACAGGCTCATCGCTTCGCGGTACCGAGGCGTCGGCGTCCAAAGACGCCGGCGGCGGCCGGATTCGCTTCCATGGTGAACGCCGCGCGCCTACGATGGGCGAGAACGTGAGCAGACGGGCACGCGGTGGTGGCCCGGCCCTTATGATCGCCCGTCGCAGGGTCTCAGGGACCCCAGTCAGGCGGACGCCAATGTCTTTACCGCAGCTGTCCCCGGAATCAGAGCCCCCACCCTCTGTGGCAGCTCATCATCGAGCGCCCCCTCCGCTCACCGCCTCCGCAACGCAGAGGCGTCTGGGAGATGAAGTGCGGAGTCTGGTGGAGGCGGGAGGACGCTGTCCCGGAAGGACTACAAGGTCCAGAGTGCACCTGCGCTTCGGCGGTTTAGCCGTTGCCTCCCTCTCGTCCCCTCTGCCTTTGGTCATGGAGTATATAACCTCTGTCTGTCGACTCCGGCTTGGTGTACTCGGAACTGACTGGTGGGTCACCTTTCCTGCCGAAGCGTCAGTGTGATTTCAACCATCAGTCCATCCACCTTTGTTTAAAGCCAAGATCGACAAGATGCAAAAAAGGAGGAAAGGGGAGACAGCTAGCAGAAAACAATACACTTGAACCAGCCCTATTGCAGAGGGCTAAAATTGGATATTTAGGACTTTTGAGGAAAGCACTTGCTCTTGTCCCTGTAAAAAGAGACGTCTGTCTTCTCTGCAACAGGTATTATGTTCCATGTTTCCATGTTAAATGTTTTCGAGTCGGTTCGTACTCAGCGACCTTGTAGAGGGTTTCCAAGGAACTGCTGGTACTTCGCAGTCCAGTGCTGATGCTGCAACGCCATACCAAGATTGGTGGTGATGTGCGGTAAAGTCGGTTGCGACTAAATCTTTACGGGAGCAGAAAGCCTCATCTTTCTTCTGTGAAACAACTGGTAGTTTCGAACTGCTGACCTTGAGGTTAGCAGCCCGACTTGTAACCACTACGCTACCAGAGCTCCTTAGGAGTCCAATAGATGTAGTGTATTTCCTGACTCCTGGTGTGGCGATATAAGATGAGCACTGGACTTGGAACCACAATGTCGGTGGTTCGAACCCACCAGCTACTCCTCAGAAACCCTGTATCGGGTTGCTGTGAGTCGCAACCGACTCAACAGCACTTAACAGCAAGTGTATTTCACAAATGGTCTGCGGGTGATGTAAGGACATTTGCTGTGCTCATTTTGCGGCACTGCAAGTTTGATTCAGCTTCCTTAAGGCAGATGACCCACAGCTGAAGATTTGTCACGTGAGTTTGAACAAACCACTGTGAAACACTATTAGTGCCAAATGCTTTACCCTTAACTGAAAACCCAAGTATGCAAGATTACATCCACCTGTTTAAAAAGGTACCCCTGAAAGAAGTGACTGTAGCCCCCTCTTTTCAAAGGAACCAAATGTAACCTTTACATTTCCCTGTAATTTTGGTGCTCCCTGCAAGACCTTATCACTCTACTACAAATTCCTGCCTATGCTCACTTTCCAAAAATAAAATTCCTAAGCAGTTCCTTATTTTTAAAAATATATCCTCACCAAACCACCTGCCCTGCTCTGTAAACTATATAAACTCTAAGAAGCAACATTACAAACAAGTATTGTAGATGGCAATACATTAAGGATAATTAGCTCTGATAGCTTGGTGGTTACGAATCGGGCTGCAAACCGCGAAGGTCAGCAGTTCGAAACTACCAGCTGTTCCACGGGAGAAAGATGAGGCTTTCTGCTCCCGTAAAGATTTATAGCCTCAATACATGGTCGCTATGTGTCAGAACCGACTCCATGGCACATAACCACCACCACCACTTGCTTTCCAGAAGATTCAATACAGGGTTCCTAGAGGACAATGAATCCGTTGCAAAGTAGAATGAACAAAAATTCAGTGTGTGGGTTTGTTTTTTCATGAATGATTCAATTCTATTGCATAAATATATACTGTAGAGACAATTCCAACTCTTAGCAACACTTTATGACAAATGTTGTAAGTGCTGCCGTACAATTGCCCAATAGGATCTCCTAGGCATAATCTTTGTTGTTATTAAGTGACATTGAGTCAGTTCCCACTGATAGTGACCCTGTACATATGGTTTCCAAGGAGCCGCTGGTGAGTCTGAACCTCTCTGATCTTGTGATCTGAAACTGACTTTATCCCACAGTGCTACACCAGAACTCCAGGATCTACACGTCTTTTTTCCTTTGAACCCTCTGGTGGGTTCAAACCACTAACCATTCTAGCAGATGTGTATTGAATCATTGGGCCTCCAGGGCTTCCTAGTGCATAAATAAAACACATCTTAATATCCAGTTGAATAATTGAGAAACACAGTCAGAAGACTTGGAAGAATTTACTTTAAAAGTGTTTGCCACCTCTCTAATTCACATATACTGAATAGTTAATAGGTGCCAACACTTTCCTAGGCACTGGGTTATAACAATGAATAACAAGCAAGATGGCAATACTAAAAATATGTAATATTATAGTTGGAAGATATAGACAATAAGTAAAACTGGGAAATCTTACACAATGCTAAGTCCTCTAATGAAAACAAGGAGAATACCTTGATACAGATTTGTGTGAGTTGCTGTCAAGCTGATGCCAGCTCATGGTGACTCCATGTGTGCAGAGTAAAACTGCTTCATATGATTTTTATTGGTGTTTTATTATTTACTCCTATACAGCAAAGCATGACACCAATTCAAAAGTATATATATGTATGTATGTACAGTTCAATTACGTGGATTATAGTCTTCAAGTTATACAAGCATTCTCACATTACTCTTTTTTTTTTTCTTCAAGTTTTTATTGTGAATTGAGTGATAGTTTACATGGGGGCGTATCAATCAGTTTGTTTCATTGCAATGATTACAATCCCCTGCATGGTTCATCAGTATTTGCTTCTATTCCCTCTGTTTCTTGTTTTGGGTTTTTTGCCTGTCTTTGTGTTCCCTTTGAGTTTCAGTCTTAAAGGGGCTTTTGTCCTGAAGGAACTTGATTGCTTGCCTTGGTGGCTTCCTGATGAACAGCTTGCTTATTCTTGTAGTAGCCAGTCATGCTGACATTTTTGTTTTGGGTTTTTCCTGATGATCTTTCTTTGACAATATATCTTCTGTCACTCTAGCTGTTCAGGGCTGGTCTGCTTGTCCTTGCTAGTGGGAATGTCCCACCTCATAAGGTTCTGGATGGGACTCAGGATTCTACCTAAAGTCCTATGCTCTGCAAAAGCTTGACAAGAGGCCTATTTCGCTGGGCAAGTTCTAGAATACCCTTTTAGGTATTCTAATCAGTTATAGGTTGAAGACGGGCTTACAAGTTTTCTGTAATCATGTTTCCCAAAATTCCTTTCTATCCCACTCAAGTGTCTATTTTATAATAGTAGGCAAGGGAAACCAATATTCATAAGACAGTCAAGCATTTTGGTATTATTTCCCCTCTTCAAGCTATGCCTAGTTCCCTGTGTATCACAGGGCCCTGTTGTTCCAAGTGTGCATTTACCTATTTACCTCTGTCCCACTTAGGCCATGCAAACCTGTCTCAGTGTTCCCATATCTATGTTGTTCTTCCACCTCCTCCCCCCTTCTTGTATTGCCCTCCCCAACACCCCAACTAAACCCCCCACCCCATCTCCACTGTTGTGGTTACCTTATATTCCATTAACTCTTCCCTCCATTTAAGACAGTCTATTTTATCCTGTAATCTTCCTGACCTTCCCACCACATGGATAAAACATTAAAAATCTTTTACAGGATAAAACACACTGTTCCTCTGTGTTTACCTTCTTTTACACTATAATTGTTTTGATCATAGACTGACCTCCCAGATCCTCTGTTCTTATCATTTTATTCTGTTCTTGACTCCTCCATTTGTTGATTAAGTTCAGGGTGATGCTGCCATGTGTGTCAATCTCTGGTTGCTGTCTGTTCTTGTTGGTTCTCAGTCCACAGAACTTCCTTTAGCATGTTTTCATAGCAGGGTTGGCTTTGGCAAAAT